ACTAATCAAAAAAAAAAAAAAAAAAGAAAGAAAGAAAATAGCAATTGTTGTAGAGGTTGTAGGGAGACTGGAACTTTTATGTACTGCTGGTGATAATGTAAAATGGTATAACCACTGTGGAAAATGATATGGCGCCTCCTTAAAAAGCTAGATTAGAAATACCATAGGATCTAGCAATTCCACTTCTAGGAATATATCCTAGAGAAATAAGAGCCATCACACAAATAGACGTATGCACACCCATGTTCATTGCAGCTTTATTCACAATAGCAAAAAGATGGAAACAACCTAAGTACCCATCAACAGATGAATGGATAAACAAATTATGGTACATACACACAGTGGAATACCACACAATAATAAAGAACAAAGATGAATCCATGAAGCATCTCACAGCATGGATGAATCTGGAGGGCATTATGCTGAAAGAAATAAGTCAATCACAAAAGGACAAATATTTTATGAGACCTCTGTTATGAAAACCCAAGAAAAGGTTTTCACACAGAAAAAAATAATTTTTGATGGTTGCTAGGAATGTAGGGGTGGGGAGGAGAAGTCACTAACTAGACAGTAGACAAGTGGTAACTTCTGTGACGGGAAAGACAACATACACGCAATATAGGGGAAGTCAGCACAACTTCATAGACACATCCAAACACCTTAAGGGACTGAGTTACTGTGGCAAAGGGGTGCAGACCATGGTCTCAGGAGATAAGTCAACTGGCATAACATAGTCCATAAAGAAAATCTTCTACATCCTACTTTGGTGAGTAGCATCTGGGGTCATAAAAGTTTGCAAGTTGCCATCTAAGATATACCTATTGGTTGCGTCCAGTATGGAGCAAAGGAGAATGAAGGAAACTAAAGACACAAGGAAAACATTAGCCCAAAGGACTAATGGACCACAGGAAGCACAGCCTCCACTAGCCTGAGCCTAGAAGAACTAGATGGTGCCCGGCTACCACCACCTACCGCTCTGACACGGATCACAATACAGGGTCCTGGACAGAGCAGGTGAAAAATGTAGAAAAAAATTCAAACTCACAAAAAAAGAAAAAAAAAAAAAAAACAGACTTACTGGTGTGACAGAAATTGGAGGAACCACCAAGGCTATGGCCCCTGGACACCCTGCTAACTCAGAACTGAAACCACTCCCAAAGTCCACTTTTCAGCCAAAATTTAGACAGGCTTATAAAACAAACAATAACACATGTGGGGAACGTGCTTCTTAGTTCAATCAAGTATAGGAGACCAAATGAGCAACACCTCCATGTTTGTAATTGGATATTGAATATACAAATCTGTTCTTCAATCTGTTACCAGTAGGTCTTTGACACCAAGTGAAACCAGGCTACAATGTTGGAAATTTTAACATGTTGTAAATGTCCCTTTTCTACCACTTGCATTTAACATAATAGAGAGTGTGTATAGTTTTTAGAACACAAGCAAGCTAAATCTGTACTTGGGTCTCTAGAACCATGCAGTCCAAGGCTAACTCGTGTGAAAGGAACATCCGTGGAACATCCATGGAGCAATGCATCAAAGTAGCCAATGGGTTCTATAATACCCTTCTGCTGTGTCTGTGTTTATAGAATTTGGTCAATCTGATTTTTCTAGAATATGGCATAAAAGAGCCACAACCAGAGAGAAGAATCTATAGAAAGATCTCGAAGAAAGGAATTTGTTTAATGTAGGGTAGGAATAGGAAAGGGGTTGTTATTGATGATGGGTAAAGAGCCACTGATAAACAGTTACTTTAACAACAACCATAATCCTACAACTAATATACCCAATAGTGAAAGACTCAAAGCATTCTACATAAGATCAGAAACAAGGCAAGTATATCAGCTCTTAACATTTTCATTTACAATAGTACCAAAGGTCTTAGCTACAGCCAGAAAAAGGATAAAGGGCAAAATCTGGGAAAGTAATAAGTAAAATTATCCATACTAGCATATGACATGATAATAGATGAACTGATCAAGGTAGCAGGATGAAAGATCAATCATACACGAGTTAACCGCACTTCTGTATACCACCAATAAGTAATTGGAAACTAAATTTATAATAAACAATTCTATAGCATGAAAAACTAATTAGGAATAAATATAACATAAAAAATGCATCACTTTTCTTATAAGCTACAAAGCTAAAAAAGGGAAATGAAAGAAAACCTAAATTAATAGAGTGACACATCATGTTCATAGATCAGAAAATCCGATTTGTGAAAATGGCATTCTTACCCACACTGATCTATACATTCAGTGCAATCTCAATAAATATTCTCTATAGAATCATTTTCTTAACTTCCAACATTATGAGTAGTTTGTCTGTTTTGGGTCTTTATATAAAAAGAATTACATAGTATGTGAACATTTGTTTTGGGCTTGTCCTGCTCGACATAAGGGTATCATATTTATTTATATTACTGCATGTAATTCTTCGTTTCCTTTGCTGTATAGTATTCCATTATGTGAATATTCTGCATCTTATTTATCTGTTCTATTTTTCATGGACTTTTAGATGTCTCCAGTTTTGGGATGTTATGAATAGTTGAGTGTGCTATCTCAAAAATATCATTTTAACCATGCACTTCCTCTGCACATAATCCTTTTGGGTTTCTGATAGAGTTCAAAATCTTATGTTAGTATATCGGATCCCTCTCAACGTCAGGTAATTCTCCACTGTCCTGTTCTGCCAGTGATTCTTCTCCCCATTTCTACCACATTAGGCTCCATTAAATTTATCTCTCTACATGGTCTCATTACACCATCAGAGAGTACTGGGTTACAGCGCTAGCTGAAAGACACACTCCTACCTTGAAATCTTGTGTAAGTTACGTTTACTGTGATGCACTCAAAGTTCACAGTTTTCAGCTGAGACGACAGTTGACATTAAGGTGGTGGATGTAAAGGACACCTCTAGTTCCCCATTTCCCTCATGGGAGACATGCTTGGGTGGTGGCGAGGGTTGTTGGCCTATTTCAGAAGAGGTACCGTCAGGCTCAGGATACCCCAAACTTCTCACACTGCAAACCATGAGAGAAAATATCCTTTGCTGAACTATCTTATCTAGTAACAAAACTTACCTTTAAAAAGCTATTTTGACAAGAACAAAAATCAAGGTTATTAGCATAATTTTTTTTTATACACCATCAATGACACCTTGCCCCACACCCCACAGATTTTATAGAGCAATGCCTACCCAGCAGACTTGGGCAACTATCGCATGATAACCCATCTGCAGATGACCACAAGCATTTAGCTCACAGGGTCCAAGAGGGACGGACCATGACAGACTGGCCAAAGCCTGCAATGCTGTTCTCTATATCTGTGTTTTCAAATAGGCTGAATTCCCTGTCGTGAGACATCTGCCTCTGTTCCCATAGGTAACTCTGTCTCATTTATAAACCACAGGTCATGCACCTCTTCTCAGAACCCTGTCCTGAAACACCTCCAGGTCAGCTGGAAACATCCTCTATCTGACCTCCCGTACACAGCACTCAATGCTGACAAAGCAGCTCTTGCCATGTGACTGTCATTCTCCCTTTCTGTGTCTAGATGCGTGGGCACAAAGTCTTCCCCAGGACAGTGTAATCTGCGATAAAGATTTATTAATGAAAGATAAGCCAATGAAAATACCCCACAGAGAAGAAAGCAGTGATCCAGAGACACTCACCATATATAAGTCCTCCCATCAGCATTCCAAACATGAATAGGAACTGGGCCACTGATTTCAGTGACTGAGATTCACATACCAGGTCCCACTGGAGGACAAGGAAACCAACACTGCAGAACTTCACAACAGCTTGGAACACCTCAGCAGAAACCTGCCACTAACACCTTACCATGAATTGCAAGTTTCAGTGTATCAGGCCCCTTTCTTCAGATCCAGGTTTGCTTTATTGCATTAGCTGACCTTTACCAATCAGCTCTCAGCTTAAGTATAACTTTCCCTAGTAAGGCTCACTTAAACCAGAGGGGTTATATTATTTCATTTTGCACTCAGTACTAAGTGGTTCTCAGTCTTGGCTACACAGTGAGATCAGTACAGGAGCTTTAAAAACTTAGTGATTGACGGATTTTTACCCCCAAGCATCTCTTAAAACTCCTCTGAGGTGCAGTCTGAGCATGAGGTTTTGTCAATCTCCCCGGATGTTTCTACTTTGCAAGTAAGGTTAGCAGTCCTGACCTAGCAGACCATTTTTCATACGTTATATCAATGACTTGTTTAAACATTGGTATCTCCAAGAATAAAAGCACTGTGATAGTAGAGTTTATGACTATTTTTTTTAATTCATTAGTCTGGTTATCTGCACATGCTTGGCATTTAATAGATAAGTAATGGATACTTGATGAAAGAATGAAGAATAAAACTTTCATACTGACTGAGGGCTTGAACATGTTCATTACTTGCGTTATCTCTAAATACCCAGATCACGTATTCAAAGGAGGAAAATGGTGCCTCTTACCTTAGTCACAGTGGTACAAGGGAAGGTGCTTTTATCATACACCCAGCTGCCCACACAGGGCTCTGGGTCTGGCTCACTTGTGTTGAGGGAAGTTTCATTCCAATGAAGGAGCTGCCACTGGGGGTGGAGGAAGCGACGGCACTTCTCTGGCTTCAGGTTCAAGTCGAGTGGGATGGAGATTCTCAGGAGGGAATTAGGGCTGAAGATTCCAGTGCCATTATCAGAGATAGTGTCATTGTCAAGGATATGGACCCAGCAGCGATGATCAGGGATGGCGGCAGAGAAGCTCTCCAATGGAATATGCATTTGCACTATGACATTAGTGACAAGAAGGAAAACCATCTGAAAGATCTGAAATCTCCCCTGGCCACCAGCTTGATGCAGGATGCCCTGGAATCCCATTGAGGTTGAATTCGTGATCCCTGAGAAGAGGCAAAATGACGCTATGGAGATAAGTTCAAAGGGAGAAAATGTCTCTTTTTAGTAAGTCACACTAGGTTAGTGTTGATGTTGACACTCCTTTCTCCTCAGTGAGCCGAATGTCACCACTGAAGCAGAGCAGTGGAAGCAGCTTCTTCAAGTTGTTTTGGGATCAAGCATCCAGCTCTTTTCAGAGGTAATAATTTAGCAGAGATACTTTAAGTTGTTTCAGTTAAATCTGTTTAAAGATCCACTCTGTGAAAATCTTTGTCCTCAGAAACACTCAGTTGTCAGTATTGGACTTTGGTCTGCAAAAACTTCCTAAACAAATTAAGATAAAGTTGCAGTTGATGTGCAGAAATTTCCCAAAACATACATTGTTGCACCAAAAAAAGCCAACTATTTTGTGATTTTTCCTTGGAAAGAACAGAATGTAAGTGTTTTTCTTGTTTAATACTGAATTTTGATTATGAAAGTTAATGAAAACTATCCTGAGTTAAATTTAAACAAGCGGAATGTGGTATAATCACTCATTTATAGCATCATACACTATTTTAGTTCAAATCATACCAGGAATCTACATTGATATAAGGTCAGTGTGATGGGGAAAGGGTTGGTAGAGGTGCAGGGAAGAGAGGGAGGCCAGTGCTAAGGGTTTATTTTTTCCAGTTTATTGATTATTTGTCTCTCCTTTATGATAATCTTTTCTGTGCCAGTTCTTGGACTAGACCAACGTGTAAGACAAGGTCTATAAGGGTTTTATAGTCCAGTAAGTAAGGGAAAGGCACATAATTACACTTTGATGTTTAAGATACATAAATAGCATATGCACAGTGTGCTGTGGAATAATTGTAGAGAAAATAAAGGAAAAATGTCATCTTGGTTAACACTAAATCTTCCATTAAAAATTTTTTTACAGTGTTATTCAGATATAATTCACACACCATGCAATTTAACCTGTGAAAGTGTACAATTATGTGGGTTTAGTTTATCACAAATTGTGCATTCACGGTTGTTGCTGTCATGTGCCATCGAGTCTATTTTGACTCATAGCAAGTCCATGTGACAGAGCAGAGCTGCCCAACACGGTTTTCTAAGTTGTAATCTTTACAGGGGCAGATCACCAGGTCTTTCTCCCGTGCAGCCACTAGGTGAGTTCTAATCACCAACCTTTCAGTTACCAGCCGAGCACTTAAACGTTGTATCACCAGGGCACCTGGTGCAACCGTTACCACTATCTAATTACAGAAAATTTTGATCACCACAAAAACAAATCTGTACACATTAGCAGTCACTCCTCATTTCCCATTCCCTAGCCCTTGGCAACCATAATCTACTTTCTGCCTGTACAGATTTCCCTCGTGTGTTTCATGTAAATAAAATCATAAATATTTTGTCCTTTGTGTCTGGCTTTCACTTAACATCATGTTTTCAACGTTCTTCCATGTTGTAGCAAGTATCAGAATTTCATTCCTTTTCATGGCTGAAAAATTCTCCATTGCATGAATACACTGCATTTTTGTTCATTCATTCATCAGTGGATGGACATTTGGTGTATTTCCACTTTTGGGCTATTATGAATTATACTACTATAACCATTTGTGTACCCATCTTTGTGTGAACATAAGTTTCAAATTCTCTTGGGTATCTAGGAAAGAAATAGCTGGGACATTTTATGTTTATGCTTAACACTTTGGGGATCTGGCAAACTTTTTGTCATGGTGGCTGCACCATTTTTCATTCCCACTAGCAATGTATGAAAGTTTTACTTTTCCCACAATCCTGCCAACACTTGTGATTATCTGTGTTTTTTTTTTTTTTTTTTTAATACTCATACCCTGGCTTAGGCAAACAGATAACACACTGAACTGGTAACCTAAAGTCTGGAGGTTTGAGTCCATCTAGAGGTGCCTCAAAAAACAGGCATAGAAATTTACATCTGACAAATCAGCCATTGAAAATCCCATGGAGCACAGTTCTATTCTGACACCCAAGACTTCACCATGAGTTGAACTCAACTTGATGCAACTGTTAGAGTGTGAGGAGCCATACATTGATAGGAAACTTCCAGAAGTTCAAGCTGAATTCAGAAGAGGAGATGTGGTCTTAGGCTCGGTTCTCTAGAGAAGCAAAACCAGTAATGTGTGCATATATATTTATATATATATATAAAGAGAGATTTATACCAAGGAAATGGTTCACAGGGTTTTTAGAGGCTGTAAGACCCAAGTCCATGAGTCAGGAAAGAGAATTCTCCCAATTCACATAGCTGCAGGGGCTGGGGAACCCAAGATCGGCAGGCTGGAGAGCAGTGTTGTTAGCCTGTGAAGATCGACGATCGGCAGCCAAGACTGCTGGCAAGCTGCTAGCCCAACTCCCAAGAACCAGAGGCCAGATGAACAGGAGCCAGCTGTAGGATCCTGAATGAGCAAAAGCCCCGGCAAAGCAAGCAGGAAGGAAGTAGGCAGAGGAGGGCGTGGAGATGAAGGCTGACGGGGCAATGAGCGATCATGGGCCCAACCCCTGCGGGTACCACTCAGCAGAGTCCATCATGGGGGTCAACACTTATCAAATTTCAGCAGGGAAGTAATCACAACATGATACTACTGCCAAAACACTGAGAATCATGGCCCAGCCAAGTTGACACACAATCTTAACCATTACAAGGTGGAAAGAGAGATATCATTGGTGTTGTTAGATGGATCCTCGCTGAAAACAGAGAAAACCAGAAAGATATTCCCCTGTGCTTTATCAACTACACAAATGCATTTTAAACAAATTATGGGTAACACTGCAAAGAATGAAAATTTCAGAACACTTAATTGTGCTCAGGTGGAACCTCTACATGGATCAAGGGATAGTCATTCATACAGAATAGGGGGTTATGTGTGGTTCAAAATAAGAAAAGGAGTACAGCAGGGTTGTATCCTTTCACCTTACTTGTTCAGTCTGTATGTTCAACAAACAATGTGGCATCAGGATTGAAGGAAGACTTATTAACAACCTGTGGTATTCAGATGGCAGAACCTTGCTTGCCAAAAGTGAAGATGACACAAAGCACTTATGATAAAGGTCAAACACTACAGCCATCAGTATGCATTATACCTAAACATGAAGAAAACTTTCCTTACAAGTGGACCAACAAACATCATGATAAATGGAGGAAAAAATTTAAGTTCATTCTACTTGGATCAGCAATCAATGTCCATGGAAGCAGCCATCAAGAAATCAAACTATATATTGCATTGGGGATATCTGCTGCATAAGACATCTTTAAAGTTTTAAAAAGCTAATATGTAAATTTTGATGACTAAGGTGCATCTGACCAGAGCCATGGTCTTTTTGATTGCCTTATATGCATAGGAAATTTGGATAATGAGAAAAGGTGACAGAAGAAGAATTGATAGGTTTGAACTGTGGTTTCAGCAAAGAATACTGAATATACCATGGACTTCGAAAAGATGAAATAAATCAATCTTAGAAGAAGTACAACCAGAAAGTTCCTTAGAAGCAAGGATGGCAAGACTTTGACTCTCTTACTTTGGACATGTCACCAGGAAAGACCAATTGCTAGAAAAAGACGCCATGTTTGGTAAAGTAGAGGGCCAGTGAAAACAACAGAAACCCTCAATGTGATGTATTGACACAAGAGCACAACAATGGACTCCAACATGCCAATGATGGTGAAGGTGGTACAGGGCTGGGCAATGTTTGTCCTGTGAGGTAGGAGTCCATATTCATTATTTGCATGTGGATAGTCAGTTTTTTCAGTGCCATTTGTTGAAAAGACTTTTCTTTCCACCAATGAATTTTCCTGACTTGGCCAAAAATCATTTGGCCATAAATATTAGGGTTTACTTCTTGACTCTCATTTCTATTCCTTGATCTCTATGTCTATCCTTATAGCAGAACCACACTGTCTTGATTACTGTGGCTCGTAGTTTTGAAAGAAATCATTGACCAGGGATGTTCTGTTTTAAGGTTGTTCTGAGTATTTTAGGTCTCTTGCATTTTCATATGAACACTGAAGAAAACTTGTCAACTTCTGCAGACATCTGTTGGGATTTTGAATGTGTAGATCAATTTGGGCAGTGTTGTCATCTTAACAATATTACTTCTAATCCAAGAAAATGAGATGCCTAACAAATTATTTGGATCTTTAATTTTTTAAACAATTTTTATAGTTTTTGGTGTACAAATTTTACACTTCTTTTATTAAAAATATTCTAAATATTTTATTATTTTTGATGCCATTGTAAATATTATTGGTTTCTTGATTTCATTTTGGATTGCTTATTGCTAGTGCTTAGAAGCACAATTGATTTTTGTAATTTATCTTGTATTCTGCAATGTTGCTGAACTCATTAGTTCTAATAGATTTTTAGTTGATAAACAGTGTTACTTCTTCCTATCTAATCTAGATGCCTTTAATTTCTTTTACTTACCCAGTTTCCCTCACTAGACCCAGCACAATGTTGAACAGAAGTGGCAAGAGTGGACATCTCTGCATTCTTCCTGAACTTTGGGTGAAGAAATAGGTCTTTCACCATTTTGTATGATTCGTTCATTTTTTTTCATTTTTTTCTCTTTCTGTTCTTCGTGTTTCATAATCTCTGTTTCTCTAGTTTCAAATTTGCTGATAATTCTGCAATTAAATCTACTGTTGAGCACCTTAGTGAATTTAACCCTCAAGATACTGTGGTTTTTAACTCCCAAATTTCCATAGGGTTCTTTTTAAAATCTCTCTTTATTGATGTTCTTTGTATGTTATGCCTTTCTTTAAATTCTTAGGCACGTTGTACAAATGGTGTGGTGAGGGCATCTAACCTCCTCTAACTTTACAAGAAAGAGAGAGAATTACCTCTGCTTTGTTTAATAATTCATTGCAATGGCCACACGGAACTCACAGACCATACTCGCAGTTATGGGTTTTATTAGGGAAATAACAGGTTACAATTAGGTCAGGAATGACTCAGGATATA